AAAACTCGTTTTCTAGAAAACCAGGTCTTCGAAGGGCTATGCGGAAGCCGCATGGTCGTATTCGTAATCAGCATGGTCGATAACCTATAACCCACTAGATTCCGAGCAAAAAGCGTTTAATCACTTCATGGGGTTCCCTCGTCAGCTGTCACACACACATCTACTCAGCTGTTTCTATACAGCACGTTCGAAAAAGAGAACGCGGATGGAAACACAAAGAATACAATACGATATACTAATATTATCAATATTATGTGGTAATTACGATAACCGTTTAAGGGCCATTAATCATCTAACTAAGCCGTTCTAACACTTAAAAAACATTCTAGCAGTAATGGCATACAATTTTACTAACATATCAGTGCAAGAAAACAGGCTTCATAATGAAAAACATTTTTTTCGTTTTGAGAGCGCAAACTGGTAGTAAAACGGCATGAAAAAATGAAAAATCTATCAGCAATCCTATCTATCAGCAAAATATGAGCCAAAAGGCTTTTAACCAGTTGGACTATATTCCTCATTAGTTTAAATCCCTTTCGACTACCCTGTTTCTATTCAGCTGAACGGCGTGGAGACAAAAACGACCGAAATGAAGATAAGAAAACCGAGTATTATATTCCTTTCGTTACTCCCTTTAATTTTTTTTGGATTTTGATTACTTTTTTTCTGCTTAAAACAACTCTAAACAATGGTCGAACTCAATTGACTAATCACGTTTTTACTAACGGCACATATTCTTTGCAGTCAAAAATTGATGTAAAATACATATCAACTTAAGTTCAACGTATTTTAATGTTTAAAAACTAATTTGTGCACATTAAAATACGATTAACATGGAAAAAATTTTAACATGAAATACTTTATTTTTCGAATGTTTAAGAAAAATCTTACAGTAGCATCTTACAAGATCTTACAAAGTCTTGTAAGATTTGTATCGTATGTTTTTGTAAGATTCTTAGTGCAAGAATAGTATAAGATTTTCGATTCTATCTTATACCAGGAATGTTACAAGATTCTTACCTCACGATCTTATAAGATCCTAGACTAAGAATCTTCTGAAATCGTATTGTCTGTAAGATCTTAATCTGATTTTTTGACCTTGTTATGGCCAACTTTTCTAGTTTAGTATTTTCTGGCGTCTTATTTACAGATAAAAGACGTCAGCAATATTTTTTAGATTTTTTGTTGACTGTTCAATTTACAATGGCAGGAAATAATAAGTGCAGTGTCGAATGGTGTGACTTACAAAAATATGTATTGAGTTTTGGACTCGACGCGAACATAATCGAAAGTTGTCCAGCATTGAATATTGCTTTGTGCGCGTTATCAAAGATTCTAACAAACGATCATCTCCTATTGAATTTTAGTGCCCATTTTATTCCATTCGAAGAGTATACAGGAAAATTTCCTGTAAGTAATACATATCAGGTCTAAATAGAACAATGTCAGCTCACTTTGATTCTCTAGAGTGAGGTGCCTGAGTCCGTTAGAAATCAAATGAAAACTGTCTTTACTGAAAAAAGTTTACCATCAGTTATAATTCAAGAAGACAACGATTTTCCTGTATCAATGCCATGTGCTGTTTATGGAGCTTATTGTGGACGTGAACATGAAGAAAACGAAGAAAAGATCTATGTAAACAAAGAAGTAAGAATGTAACATATGGTTGGTTTCTTTTATAAGATCTTTTTCTTTAGATAATAGAATGTTCACAGTATGCTTTTGAGCGGAAGGATGTAGTCAAATATGCTGCAATTATTTTGTTTACAATCATACATGAAATAGGCCATTGGTCGTTCCATCATTTCGCATGCAACATGGATCATGATTTGGCAACTCCAAAAGGTATCGTTTGTGCTTCCTTTCACTGAAGTTTTTTGTAATCTCTTGTTTTAATATAGGTGTGTTGATGGAAGAAGCTGGTGAAGCGATTGAATTTTTGTTATTTGGATTTCGTATTCAACACTATGGTCCTGAAGATCCGAAGTTTATGGTAATAGGCACCGAATTCGATAACAGTCAAATATCGATGATATTTCTATTTAAGATTGATGAGATTGTTACAAAGTTCAATAAGGGACATAGAATTATTCCGGTAGAATATCTCAACAAATTGTTTGAAGCAAAGACATATTCTGGTTTCTATCATTGAACAATCCAGGTTGTTTTTATCATGCATAAACTTGTTATTTTAGATCTGGAAAATCATACATCACTTACAATTCCCATCACACTATTAGTAAAAGCTACTGTACTTGATGAAGAATTGATGAAATTCACCTTTAAACGAGTGTTTAATGCAGTGGACGAACCAACATTAATCGCAGCGACAGCAAATAGTGTAACAGATAACTCGAGAAAACGAGTATTTAATCCATGTGACAAGACTTATTAATGTGATTCTCAGTTAGTTAGTTTTTTTTGTTTCTCATACTCAAACATTCATTATCTTTGTAACATCTATACTTCAAAAAAAATACATGCCATTCTTAGTTTTCGATTGTGATCCGACTGTGAAAGAATCACAAAGACAATATATGATAAAAACAACGGTAATCAAAAATTCTGTTAAAAGTGTCATGATAATTAGACATGGGCGTATAAGAAATGCAAACGGCGCATACAAGAAATAGAAAAAGTAGACGAAATGCTTTTAATGTGTATAAGGCATGAGGATTTAGTTTACAGACTACGTTGCTTGGCGCATCGAATTGCAGAATGGCAAAAAGAATCAGTTTTTGAACAAATTCTGAAAGGTCTGTAAATTTAATTGTTTATCCGGTACACACGTGCTATAGCGATAATAACAATCCAATTTTATCCTTTATTCAACGAACGGTCATAAATAGAAAACTTTTGAACATTTTGTACAAAAATGAAACTGATTATTGATTGTAGCACTGAATATATCACTATACACCTGTGTAATCGTGGAGTTGCTATTTACAGATGAAAATCTATATTTTCAATTCAAGAATAAACAATACTTTACATCGAAGATAGGTCTTTAGATTCAACAATCTGAGGAGAAATACATTTTTTTAATATCTTTTTATTTTAGCATGTTTTTCTTGAATGTGTTTTGAATTTCAACGCGCTCAACATTTTAAATTGATATATGACACAGTACAGAAGAAAGGGCATACAAGGACAAATAGGAATTAATTATGAATTTGGAGACTCCGAGATTCATGTTTTTAGATTGGTCTGTATATAAATTAATCCGGGAAAAGCACCAAAAGAAACACATAAAGTGGATAGAAGAACAGAACAGAACGGGAAAAAATACAGTTTTAAATTAAACATGAGGATTTTGTTTCTGAAACGATAAAGATGAGATGCCTAGTACTGTCAGTGGTGTTTGTTGTGTGCGTCGTTGACTGTTTTGCTATACGGTACATACGCGATGAAATTTTAATATTCAACGATAACAATAATTATACTCAACTATTGGGTAATATTTCATCACTTCAACAATGTCTATGTTATGCATTTAATAATAATTCAGATCTAGGTTTAAACTATTTTAAAAATAATAGAACGTGTCTATTCTTTCGAAATTATTCGGACACCTGTATTATCGATACAATCAGATGAGAATTCTTCATTTTGGTTTATTCGATTCCCAGCAGAGATGTTATTGACAAGTAAGTATATATACTCGTTCGAAGCAAAGAACAAATATCGTCTTATAACTGAGGTAGTTAGAAAAGTCTATTCTGTAAAGTCCTAAGTACTCATAATCGTGTAGGGATATAATAGCAGCTACTTTTATTGATAATTCGACGTTTCGACAAACATAATTTTCGTTTTCAGGAAAATCTATGTCCAAACACTCTTACGCTCATTTCTCATGTATTGTATTTGCTTCACTTTAAGCAACGTCAACTATAAGATGAATACACTACCCTTTCAAGAAGGATACACCACTCTGTTAGGATGAATACACCTTCTGAATAAGATGATTAAAAAACAGGCCAGTACAGAGTTTTTGGGTATAAAACTTCAACTTGTTTTTCTTTGGAGATACTGAAGAAGTGTCACAAAACAATCCTGATTTCGTACTAAGTTTTTAGTAAAAAATAACATATGCAGCTAAGCTCAGAGATGAGAAAGTAACGCATGTTGCTATATTTTAGCGTCACCAGTCATAATAACGAGAACAGGTGAGTTTTTATGACAAAGCTTATTCAAATGTCTGTGAATGAATAATGAAGAGAAATATTTTTATGTTAACGGGTGGCGCATAAAGAATTGCGCTGTTAGTGTTTTTGATGTTTCTCCTTTATTACTCATTCAATCAAAATAATTTTTGTACCAAAAGATAGAGCTTCAAATTCTCTACAAAACCGTATATAACATAGTCTACAAACGTTTTCAGATATTTTTCAAAAAAGATGAAAAGTAAAAATTTACAAAAGGCAGTAAAAATTAAGTTTGAAAATGTTGATGGGCCGGCAAAAATCTGTCGTGATTTGGGTGGAGTGGTTTCAAAGCGAACGATCAACTTGTGGATAAAAATGATGAAAAACACCGGCTCTATTAATCTCTCATACTCTCCCGGTCGTCCACGCACAGTTCGCACAAAAGCTTATATTACGAAAGCGAAATGTCGCCTAAATCAGAAGAAGCACGTATCAACAAGAAAATTAGCTGCAGAAAAGAATATTTCAAGACGAAGTGCACAACGAATATTACGTGAAGACCTTGGTTGTTTTCCGTACAAGAAAAGTAAGCAACCAAAATTAACTGATCTTCAAAAAAAGAAAGGATTAAATTTGCGAATTGGGTTTTCAATAATTTCACTAAAGACGACATTGATCGGTGGCTTTTCACTGATGAAAAATTTTTTGATTTAGATGGGGTGTATAATGTACAGAATGATCGAGTATGGGCTGTTAATCGGAATGATGCTGACAAGAGAAGAGATGTTCATGAGAAGACGATGTTCCCAGTAAAGGTGATGGTATGGCTAGGTGTTTGTAGTGAAGGTTTTACGGTGCCGGTGATCCTAGAAACCGGCACATTAGATGTCGAAAGATACATGAAGGACATTCTTCCTGTGGCTCTTAAATGCGGCAATAAAATGTTAGGAATGGACTGGACATATCAACAAGACGGGGCCATACCTCATACGCATCATCTGAACCAAAAATGGTGTGCTGATCATTTTTTTTCTTTTATTCCAAAGGATCGTTGGCCACCGAATTCGCCTGATTTATGTTCGATAGATTACAGTTTATGGCATGAACTAGGCGAAGCAATGAATTGGAACCATGTAACAACAAAGGCAACATTAATTGACGAAATAAAACGTTCTGTCAAAAAAATTAATGCGATGTATAAGGATACTTTTTGTTTCTTTAGATGTTTATAGACAGCGTTAATAGATTAAAAAGATGAATGAGATTGTCGACAGACGGGGGATTATTAAACTCGCCATATGATACACTTAAAACATAATGCAACTTTTTGTTGAAAATATCATCAAGATTTATACAGCATTTAGCTGATTTGGCACAACTGGGATCAAATCTTTACTAAGGTATATGACTTGGTTGAACGGGAACATCATCGAAGCAACTGTATTAATTAATATTTTTAACACATTAACATTAACATTAACCGCAACTGCATGACCGCGAAATCGTGAAACTTGCTGTCTTTACCGTGAAAATTAATCGGCAGTCTGCTACAAATACTTTTCATCTTAAAACAATGAAATTGAAATGCCGAAATAAACATCAGCAAGGTAAACTCAATCACCCTCCTTCGTCTTTCTTTATTACCTTACACATGATGGCGCTAAATGCTTGAACACGTCATACTCTGATGCCCTTCTGGATGATCTTCGAGCTGGTTTAGAAATAAAGAAAGTATGTGCACAATACAGAAGTTTCATTAAGAAATCTTGCTGATGTCAAATACGAACCTGTCATCTTTGTTGGAGATTATCATAGTTATTCTCATACAGGGTGTTCAGCTATACTCACACCTAGTTATGCGAATATTATGTTCCAGTTCGGTTCTAGTACACATCTGTCATGATCTCTAGAGCAACACTCTCATCTTCTAAGCACTGATTCGGTTTCAAATTTTCCTGGTAATGTAATGCCTCGAAACAACGTAAAGAACATACAAAACCTATCATCTACATTGCCGTGTACTGAACAGAAAATCGTACATTCATCATCATTTGGACATTAAGAAGTAGTTTTGCATATGCTCAACGTTACAGATAACAACATACTTAACCAGCATCGGTGAATAACCAATTAAACATTTGGTACACGTTAAAATAGACGTATCCTAGATGAAGCTCAGAAGTCACATTCGACTTGGATCGAATTCATGTGCTTCTCAGCCAGCGTCATAAATCATGAAAAGAGAGTTGTTTGTCATCTGTTCGAATAACAAGACATCTTTGTCCTAATAATGTTGTTTCCAAAACACTCTTATTATATATGAGAGTTTGCTCTAATTTCCCATCTCTGTCAATAATATGAAGTTCTTTATTCTTATGCTCATTTGTCAGCCATTGTCCATTTGGAAGAGAGAGAAGAAGATATCCATATGTCGAACGAGGAAATGTGATGTTGTTGAGGATGTTCATTGATCGATCTCGTACATGAAACTGATTGTATCGACCAACTACCCACACCGTTACTCCTAACTGACTGCTATCAAATGAAAATCGAATTTCACATATCCACTCATTCTGTTGACAGGACACAGGTGGTTGCCAACTTCTCATCATTTTCCATTTTCCACTCATATCCCACTCTTCAACAACTGATCCCGTTTGATCAAAACTCAGCAACAATGTTTGATTTGAACAAGTACATCTATAAAAGTCTGCTCTGTTCTTGTCTGACACTTGTTTGATCTGTGTCACTTCACTTGTTTGGACATTCAATGAATGAAGAGTTCTTTTCGTCAATATCAGAAATCTGTCAAGAAACAATGACCAACAGATACTGCAGACATTCAATCCGCCAGACTGCAGTGTGTTTGTCTTGCGACCAGTTCGATCAGTCAGACACAGTGTGCCTTCACCACAGTAGAGCACATTCATATCAGATGCTCCTATAGCATAATCAGATCCATCCACTTTGATCTGTCTGTGTGGTTGGTCTTTCAGTTTATTGAAGTCAAGTTGTTTCACTTTATTGACTCCCTTCTCACTTCTCTGCGGTGAGTTGGACACATGACTCTGATGCTCCATCTTTCTCACTTTGATTATTCTTTTCCACTCACATTCATCACCACTTTCGACGACAATCGTCGTTGGCATGGCCTTCACATCTACAGTCAGCTGCTTTATCTCATTCATCCATCGATCGAGATCATACTCCACAAAGTCCTCTTCTGCCATTCTCGATCGAATCTCGTCTGTGATTCGTTTCAGTTGCTTCTTCGGCTCAGCAACAATGTCTCGCACTTCTTCTCGTGCACGATCAGCAGCCATCTTCACCTTCTTCATCCACTCCATCTCCCACTTCTCAATCTCATCGAACACCTTTGAAGTAGTGGCATCACATATCTGTTCAGTGTTTTGTTTGAGAAGGTCGTGCTCTCGAATGATGATGTCGAGTTGTGTTGAGAGTTGTTGTCGATGTTCATTGAAGTCTTTTCGACAGAACGTCTGGTCACATCCTGTACATAATAGAATTCCAGCATGTTTCTGGCAGATATCACACTTCTTTGATGTTGATGGTTGTTTGACCTTGGCAGATGAAGTCATGTCTGATTATTACTAAAAGCAGAATAATTCGGATGAAGTCATGTACGCTAACTGCCTGAATTAGAATGATACGAGTTTTAGTTCAAATATATTGCTAGTCAGCATTAGTCCACCTCTGACCATCTGAGAGAATAGTGTGAGAAGTCGAGTGACAAATTTGGCTATGTGTGTATTGAATGTAAACTCGACCTACTCTTTTTGTTTTGAGTGGATGTTGTCGTTGCTGAAATAGAAGTTCGTGTCTATTGCGGTGTTGTGCGTATTGTTGACGATTATTTTCTTCTTCTCTATCGAGTCAACACACCCGACAGAATGAATAATATTTCTATGTAACAACCATTTTTGTCGAAAGTATGTGCTTCACCTTGTTTCACATGATTATTCAGATAAGTGATGTGTTGCTCTGTAGAAGAATAGTACACACTCCGTTCTTTGCACAGAGTTGACGAATGGTTGTATTTCACTAGTAAACACACAGTCAGAGGTTCAGTGCATGTATGTACACTAGTAAATAAAATGTCACACGTCTGTAAATGAGTAACAGCCGCTCAGACCCACCATAGATATGCGTGCAAGGCAGGCTTCACTTGTTATGTATTATTATCGCAAATAGATCCCCGTCCCATAAGTGATAACTACACATAGTATACGTTTTACAACCGCCTCCCATGTAAATGTTTTCGCGGTTGGAAACTCGTTTTTTTCTGCGGTTGAGCGGTGCAAATATGCACCATTTGAAGCTATCTGGATGTATCTGATGTTGACGCGTTTGACGGCATTTTTTCTAGGTGCGTCTAAATGCGTTTTTTTTAAAATTTTAAAATTTAATTCTTTTTTCCAAAAGGTTTTCTTTTTCTTTAACTAACTTTCCTATAGTGAAGTTCAGGGTCTTATAGCTAGCTATTAGAGACAAAGAGAAAGAGAGAAGAGCTTACCTGACATTAAAGAAAGACAAGTATAGAAGATGTACTTATGGTGATTCGAACATGCGACCTAGAACAGAAAGAGAAATTATAAAGCAAAGTACTTACCATTCTGTTAACTGAGCTTGGTATTTGCTCTATATTTTGTCAGTCTGTAGGTTTCGAAGCGAGAAAGAGTAAAAATAATAAGAGCAGAAAAAGGATGAAAGTAAATATTTTGTTTTACAGAACTCCTTTCTGAAATTCCGAGGGAAAACGTGTTTTTTAGAAACTTCTGTTTGAAACTGGTACTTATACGGCTTTTTTCTGTCAGTATTGAGCATATTCTAAATATTTGATTAGATGTACTACTTGGAATTTAAAACTTCTGTATTGTGCACATACTTTCTTTATTTCTAAACCAGCTCGAAGATCATCCAGAAGGGCATCAGAGTATGACGTGTTCAAGCATTTAGCGCCATCATGTGTAAGGTAATAAAGAAAGACGAAGGAGGGTGATTGAGTTTACCTTGCTGATGTTTATTTCGGCATTTCAATTTCATTGTTTTAAGATGAAAAGTATTTGTAGCAGACTGCCGATTAATTTTCACGGTAAAGACAGCAAGTTTCACGATTTCGCGGTCATGCAGTTGCGGTTAATGTTAATGTTAATGTGTTAAAAATATTAATTAATACAGTTGCTTCGATGATGTTCCCGTTCAACCAAGTCATATACCTTAGTAAAGATTTGATCCCAGTTGTGCCAAATCAGCTCTGTTAGAGGCACCTGACGAGAAGCGTGATTCAGCTTCACTTGAACACATTAAACTTATTGAAACTTCTTGTATCCAAGATCTTGGGTTAAGAAATGTCACAAGATCATGGAAAAAACGCTAGGAAGTCAAGAACTTGGTTTCTTGAATCTTCCACTCAACATCTTGAGAACAGAAATTTCCGACTCTTGAGTGAATCCACTGAACCTGTTGCAAGAACTTGAGTGAAAATTTTCTTTATCATTTTGTTTTTATTTTGGTGCTTTGGAGAAAGGCCTTGCCAGGCCCGAACCACGGATTCTGCAGATGTCGCTTGGATCCAGTTTTGTGGAGGACACTCCGGGCTATCTACCCGTCTAGAAAAATCGTCATAGCCCCATGGCAGTCTTAGAAACCACGACCTGGTTTTCCAAAGATCCTCTGGAGACCCAGTCTTGAAATTTTTCAGAAGTTATTTTCCGCTTAAGTCTTGGCTATCGAACAGCCAAAATCGCAGTTCTCTATCTCATTTCTATCAATAGTTATTCAAAAAGCAACCACCTGTCTTGTATTTTGGAACCGATAGTAGTAGGGATAATTTTAGAGTTTTATTGAAAGAAAAACACAAATATAAACTCTTAATAAAGGAATCGATAGTAATTATAGCTACAAAACTGATCCCAAATGGTACCGATCAATTCATCCCACTATATGTATATCCGGATGGTGTACAGAAATCAACTTTACCCTTAAGTGTTACGGGGCCGCCACTTTCCAGATAAAAGGAAAGGAAAATAAAGACAATCGCGAAAAATATATAAATGTTTTCGTATTCGTTCATGTATTCTCTATTCTCCAATGTACAACGTTCTATCCTGTATTTACTAAATTCAGTCGATGACTTATCGAATGGAAATAACATTAAAGAGTATGAACAGTTATAATTCAGTTTCTTTTATTGTCTATTAGATAACAAATTTTCATCTTTCACAGTTTGTTTTACTTGATAATGACCGGTTAAGGTCGAAATATCGTGAATAAAAAATAAAAGATGATCTCATTTTACTCGGCTGCTATAATTCTCAAAATCATAAATGTTCTTCTTATCGGCCTGGTATGTCACATTAGACAATCGGCAGCTCCTAATCCCGATTTTCGAGTCCTTTCTCGCAAAGCATCTGTTCCTGTGGTTCGAAAATTTCATTTACATAACGGATGAGGTTGGAACTTTCTTTCTCCGCTATGAGGGCCAATGGTCTGGTTCACAAAGCACTGTTCGGCGTTTTGTTATTCCAAACAATCTCGTTTGAATTATTGTTGAATATGGAGAGCGGTATTAATACTTTAGTGAAAATGTTGGAATCAGCCATTGGATTATCATCAGCTCGGTACATCGATTGATTACCGGATGCGTCGTGACCGGTCTTGTATCTGAATACTAACTTCAAGGGAATCATGATGTTCTCTTTGAACAGTCGATCAAATAATCGTTTAACGGTTAGTTCGACTGTCCGGTATACACTTTCGACCATTATACCACGTCCTTGTCGATACTTCTTTACTGCTAGCACTAATTTTTGTGAACGTTCACGAACGATATCTCTGTTCCATACGTGAACAAAATCGCTCGAAAAGTCTTTGAAAAAATCTATATCGTTACGACTTACGAGGGAAGGTCACCAACTGCCACCTCGCTTTTTAGCTCTAGACTAGTGGGTAATAGGTAAAAAAAATTGTAGCACGCGAAATTCTGATCAAAATGAGACAATGCCCAGCTCTACATAACATTTCTTTGCAAAGTTATGGAATTTACAATAAAAGCCCAAATGTTCATTGTCAGCTCAAAGCTACGAATATAAGAAGGAAAAAATTGATTTCGCGTGCTACTATTTTAACTTATTAAGAAAAGTTTTGGAGAGTTTTTGGAGTTTCTGGAAAACTGGTTTTCTAGAAATCCAGTCTTTGGAGGCCTAGCGGCCCAACCCATTGTCATCTTCGGATTCAGCACATTTTTTTACCTATTACCCACTAGCTTAGAGCTAAAAAGCGAGGTGACAGTTGGATTCCCTCGTTAGATTCATATGGTTTTTCATTGTTAGTGTGCGGTCTAAGTCAAGCTTTACACATTCGCTTTTTTCGATATTACCCGTTTTGTATAATTCATCTCCAAGTTTGGAAAGATACTTATTTGTATAGTAATTGCGTTGGTACAAAAGGTGCCCGACCACTTGGTTGACGTCTATATTGTTGTCTCTTGCAAAATCGTCGGGTTGCGCGTTTAAATTAATTAGACGCAGTCGTTTCTGCCTTGTGACTTCGAAAAAATCTCGTGTTGTGCTGTGTGCTCAGGCGTCTTTGGTAGTTCTTTTTTCGCTTTCAGATCTGGAAATTCCATTTTTGTCAATATTTTTGTCACACAAATTTTTCTTCAAAATGAGGAAGCGAGCGAGATTTACGCCACTCCTGAAACTTTCTTTTCCATTTGACAGTGCAGTAGTTAATTTTAAATTCAATCACTTTTTTGTTATTGTCGGACAGTTCTACATCAATACATGACAATTTCGATTTCGGTTGCTTCCACATCGTCGTTACAATCATCGTGGTAGATAGTAGATGCATTCTAAAACATACCAGTTTGAACTGTTTCAGTTGTAGAATCAAATAAAGAGATCTTTAGACTAATGTAAAAAAGAAAAATATTAAACGACTAATATTAAAAGTCGATCAAATATTTTTCCACCTTATTTAAATATTAGTTCGTTCAATATTTTTCTTTATTTAAATATTTTTCTATCCCGCTTATCTCATTCTAAATGCAAGAACTGATGTCGCAATTTGAACATATCAAGAAGATACGAATATACGGAACCTGACTTTTGTACCTTATTTAAATATTTTCCTATCTGTATAAAACAATTTAATACTTTTCTATCTTACAGCAAGAAAAACATTTATTTGTTCAAAATAGAAAAATATTTAATTGATTTTGAATATTAGTCGTTTAATATTTTTCTTTTTAACTTTTTTCGGTATACCCCAAATAAAGATATAAATCAACTGTTTGGGTGTTTTTGCTTGCATATGCTTTCACGTGTGCATAAACGCCTGAAACTAAGCTGAAATACCTGTCTTTTCACTAGCTTTCGATCGATATACTACAATGATCTATTTAAGTGAATTTTTTAATTCTTAACAAATCCATGATGACTGCATAATCTAAAGGAACTGTTGTTTTTCAAGAACCAAGGTAGTGGCAGTTGAGAAAGTCGCTTTTCCGTAAAAAAATTTTTTGAAGCAAGTTATTTGTTTAACTTTTTTAAGTTAAACTGTTCAACAGCAGTGCAATTCAGTCATCTAATTCAATCGACTTCAGAATCTCTAGTCAATCTTTACTTACTTCGGTTTGAGTAAATTAAACAAAGATGAACACGTCAATCTATATTTTTTATAATAATTCCATGTATTTTGACCAAATTCATATTGTTTGCAGCCACCTTTGAAATATCTCAATAATGTGCGAACTATTCGGTTTGTCACTGGCATGAGGTATGCCTGGATCATTAATGTTTGACAGTGACCAAGTCAATGATAGCCCATTGGCTAATGCGTGTACTGATGGTCGTACAGATTCAATTTTCATATCGTTGAAACAATCATCGGTGTAAAACAAATAAACATCGTCAACATTTGGTTCTGTTTTCAAAATCAATAATTCATTTTGTGTTACATTACGCACATAAAAATATTCCGTTAAATCAAATTTTGGCATTATTTCAACGTTCATCCCACCAAATGATAATTGAGTTAACTGTTCAAGAATATCCGTACGTTTATCTTCAGATCTAATACTCTCATCGACGATAACAACTAGATCAAGGTCAAATTCATCGATTTTTTCCAGGGATTCGTTCGGAAAATCAAAACATTGTTTCATTAGTCGACGCGCTAAACCTTAACAAAAATACAGCTAGAGAGCAGTCGCTAAAAAGCAGATTAACGTAGTCATTGGACGAGAAGTTCGGGCTCCTGAATCGTGGACACTTTCAAAAAAGTCACGACGGCAAAATGTTCGAGCCGAATAAAACAGGGGAGGAGCTGGAAGGAATTAAAATTGATTCTTCAATGGTAAGAGGTTAACAACGAGATAGTTTAACACTAGTACTGTCCAATATCCTCTATCCATCGATATGTTCAAACCTTGTACACCTTCAAGCATTGGCTTCGTAGCATTGGCCTAACCCGAGGTTTTTTAAATCTCACTCGACAGGGCAGAGTAGACTCAGTTCAGTATGTAACAACTTTTTAGATTATTCCTCTTTTCCCACTGCTGCAAACGTCCGCTCGGCCGCTTTCTTTCTTTTTTCTTTCGTTTATTCCACTAAACTACAGACCATTTATGTCACGAAAAACACCATTAACAGAATAAAACTAAAGAAAATGAATAGTCGTTAATCTTTCCTTTCTGATGACAAATACAACGTTAGCTATGCTTTTGTAGAACTGAACACACTCTGAAGAAAGATGGTTGTTGAATGAGGTTGCTTTTTCTTCTTCAAACAGGAACGTTTAGCTACATACTTTCCGAAAACTAGCTTTTTCGTTTTACGTTTTCGTCCCCTCATCTCTTCTTTGATTAACCTGCGATGCAAAAGTAATTGCCGAAATCTCCAGCCTTGGTTCTCTGGTCAGGAACATTACAGAAAGTTCATTCGTTTTCTGGTTGAAACAGCAAAGCCTGATCTTCAAAGGCCATAAGGCAACAAAACTTTTGGGATTGGCTTTGAGGAAGAAAATAGTACGATACCAAATGTCGTGGAAAAGGACCTCGCAACTTTTGTAATCTACAAACGTATCTCTCTCATCAAATCTGTTTTTCCCTATAACAGAATACGTTTGAAATTACATAATTATAGAAACTAGAAGTATTTTAATCACTCTTTCAAATGGAGTAAGGTAAATTCTGCTTTGACCCACTTTTCGATCGGAACTAAGCAAATTTTTTATTAGTTTCCAAACATAGGTAATTAGACTTAATTAATAATTTTCAGATACTGGACGAATTTTGTTGCTTTTTCTAAAACACATTTTCTGGAACAGTATGCAATTCTCTACAAATTCACATTAGTTTTAATCTTTACTACCATGTTTAGAGCCCCGAATAACGATTTTTTGTTGTCGTTCGAATCTTTTGGTGACTTTCAGGTAATTTTAGCGATTAATCGCGATTAATTGACGATTTTGTTGCTAGGTACTACTGTAGGTTCGAATTCGTCTTAGGATTTACATATCTTTTTTTGTTTTTTCATTGTTTATTATGTACAATGACATGTACATCACTCAGCAACGGCCTTAGCACCAGCTCAAGTCGCAGCCTTGCCGACGAATCAATCTGAGACATTTCTCAGATACCGGCTGTTCACTGGGCTTCTCGGCTTAAGGCTCACAAAAAATAAACTATCTTCCGACAGAGTTTTAGGTGTACAAGGAAAATAATTATTTAGGCGTCATTGCTTTTTCTAACGACAAATCGCATCTTTTTTGTTTGACATACGGGATAGTAGCAAATAAATAAAATAAATTCTGGTCCTTCTGATACCTTTATTTCGTTATAGACTCAAAATTTTTGCACGTATTTAGAACCAAACAAAAAACTTTCTTTTATTCTAGAATGCCCGTCCGCCATTCTAAGGTGACATTCTGCCATTCCAGAAATTTTGTATCCATTCCGAAATGTGCTTTTTACCCCTTGGTATTAGGGCACTTGGCAATGGGATTTTTGGAACTTTTATAAACTATATTCAATAGTACACTTTTTCTTGAAGATCTCGAGTATTTCCAGGATAAAGTGACCGAAAAAATACACTCAACTTCATTCGGATATTCTACTCGTATTTCGCGATTTTAATTTGACAGAAACATTTTTATTCAATACAACAGTAAGTTTTGGAATTTTTAAATCAAAACGGTATGCCTTCAGTTTAGTTTTCATGCGCGCGTCCAGAAAAGGTCAAGGCACGGATTATTCAGGGTTTAGGATGTGCTTGTCGCTTTTTTCTGTGTACAAGATGGTGCTATAATAAACCATGCGCTCTTCTCTGTGGGACTTCCTTTTTGCGGTCACTTTACTCTGGGAAAAGTCGAAACTGCCAGTGCTATTGAATGAAGTCTATTTGTATAAAAAGAAGGTTACAAAAACATCCTGTTTGCCGTTGGTAATGTTCTTAGGTGTATAAACGTGAACGTGTTGGGTGTGAAGGTATAAAGAATGAAATTGCACGTTTCCAAATGATAAATAGAATAGTAATAAAATAGAATACAAAAGAAACGAAAATACAGCTTACTCGATTGTTCGCATGAGGTATCTTTTTCCGTTTGCTATGATAATGTTGGGGTGTAGTAGGTAAGAACAAAATATCAGAAAAAGAAAGTTATTGAAGGTTACCTGCTGACGATAGTAAAGTATTTGAAGATAAATATAGTAGATAAACTACGTCCGAACGAGCCTTAATGTGTTTTGACTCATCGCTACATAATTTTTTCCTTTCTTAACATGTGTACGAAACTTCAGTTCGCATCATGTAGGACGATATATGTAATCATCTGCGAACTCGTGGTCATATAAAAGCTTATCAGTCGAAACCTTCGTTCTGGAGGTGTAATTCCTCTGAGTAATCTGCCAAAGCTTTGGCTGCTACTCAGAAGCCTTATTTCATTCTCCAAAGAATAAGTCCGCTTAAGGGGATCCCTCCCCCTATATGTGTCTTCGAACTATGTTAGTTTAAAGAAAACACCTGACTACATATATCCTCAAGTTCTTTCGATGAACTGGGAAGTATTTCCAGAGTTATTAACTAATTAAACGTAAATTTTAATTAGAATTTGGGTCCCTAGTTCGCATTTTGCAAAGCTTGCAGTTCGGTTAAAAATGATTGTAGAAATGTCGTTCTTGCATGGTTTGATAGTCAATGGTCTGCTGCGGCCAGCACATTCAACTACCACCAGATTTACATAATTTATTCAGGATGTTAGCACATCATTACAACAACACATCACAGCACTCGTCTTATACATTGATTTCTTAAAAGCATTTGATCAATTGTGGAGACGTGCTTTGTGCTTTGATTTATAAATTTCACAAACTAAGATGTCCAGAAGAATTGCTACAATTCATTATTGAATATTTAGATAACAGAACATATCAAATAGAAATAAACGACCTGCTGTCCGATGTATTTGATGTAGATAGAGGGATACTACAAGGAAGTATTTCAGGCCCGGTTTTGTTTCTACTATTCCATGCTGATATGCCGACAGAAATTCCATCATCACAACATACCCACATGTATACAGATGATGTAGCATTAGTTATTGATGCAGCACCATGGTGGAAAAGTACAGAGGTGATAACAAATATTCAAAAAACTGCACAACAAACATTAAATGAATAAATTCAGTTCATCTGTAACATATTTCTTCCACTAAAATTTCATCCCAATTACTAAAGCTTTCTCGGTTTATATAAACTTCTTAATTTAAAAGATTGAATTGGATTGCTGTTGCATTAAAAAAAAGCGTGTGAAAAATCAGCTATACATAATCAAAATGGAAAGATTAATCTATCCCTTTGATAACATAAAATAAAGTTCACAATAAGGGAAACAACGAAGGAGTATTTTTATTTCAAGATAATGCGGTACCGACCGGTATACCGGCCAGTACCGGTACGAAGTTTGTATATCGATGACGGATACCGGTATCGCATTTTTGATACCAGTTACACCCCTGATCCAGATGGAAACAACCAATAAACTACATAAGAACAGAATATCAATGGATTCACAAACGTATAACAATTTCATATATTGGTTTATTAATAGAACAACATGAAATTGCAAGAACAAAATTATTAGAATATCTTGGTAATTATATTGATCAAAAATTGTCATTCAATAGACATGTTCAGCATATATTGACGAAAATAAAAACCAACACACCAACGATAACATATGTAGCACAATCAAAAATGTCATCATATCATGCCAGAATGTTAATCTTCAATACTTATGTACTACCATATTTACAGTAGCTCTATTCCGTTTATCCACTGTTCCACCTGATTCCACAACTACTTCCACACTATTGTTCACAACTTGTCGATATTTGTAAATCTGTCTAATAAAGCAACAGAACAACAACAAAAGTCTCTCGCTCGAACAAAAAGATGGAATTCCGTAACGGAGTGTGTTCTGACATTGTTTCGTGATCTTGTGAACAAATTTAACAACCCGTTAGAGATTCTGAAAGCTGGTCGAAATCTATATAACTCCTATCTGGAACATTTCTTAATACAGTGCTTTATTTCGTAGCGAAAGGGTAAAGTTTGGATATATCTTAAAAAAAATTCCATTTTTGGGAATCCCGTAACGGCTAGTATTTTTTTTGTAACTCTTGAGCAAATGCTCCAAACCGACTGAAATTTGTATAGGACGTAGAACTTCACATCTTCTATCTATGGTAAAAAATCTATATATAAAACAACAATTCCATTTCTTTCACTTTCGGATTATAGCTACGAGATACTTTTTGTTGATATTTTCTTTTTTTCTCCAGTTCTGAAAATTATCACCGGCGCTGAGACGAGCTAGTCGTAACTTGCATGGTCAAGTGTGTCTTTATTAGAAAGTAGGTATCTGTTATTGTGTTTGTGAACTATCATTTGTGGCAATGAAGTGGAACGTCTATGACACGATGGAGACAGCTCTCCAACGAGAAACGTTTCTACTTTCATCTCACACTGCTTGGAGCGTAATAAACATTAAATAAACACTTCTGTAGTGCAAGTATTTATTCTTATATATGCAAGAACAATGTCAAACAAAATGGTGATTCAAAGAGCAACACATATATTTGTCTAATCTCTCGACCAATTTTAGCAGAAGTCCTCCACACTGTAGTGCTACAATAACTATAAATAGATGCAAATTTGGCATATTTACATTTTTGTCGAAGCTCTGAGTCATGTCGTAATCAAAATGACTGCTAACTTTCTCTGTCAGCAAACATTTTGTGAGGGGTCTTTCTATTTTATTTTAACTTTGATAGTGGGTGCACTGCGACCACAGTCCAAATACCATTTTAGATTCTAAATCAAATTATTTACTAGATTAAGTGCATTCGATTTATTTGTTTACGTTTACTTTGTGTCTTCCAAGTAATCATACAAGTCACAGTAGACTGTTGAACACCCAATTACCAGATCCCAAAGTTAGATATTTTTGTTTTGATAATTCCTACATTGTAGCACCATAACTTTGTTCTACCTATTTAAAGCATATCTTGAAGAAGAAACACAAAATATCTCGTATTGTTTCATTAAAATGACAATAATAACAAATTCTTTTCGATTTATTGCCAAGTTCAAAACATTTTCTGCTACAGAACGCGAAATGAACATCAGTATGCTTCCACGGTTGGCAGTCTTTAAACTCGCTACGAGATGAAAAGTACTAACGTCTTCTTTTAGACTGGGAAGTTGTTTTGAACTCGTTACGAGTCCAAATGAGTGTTATGTTCTAATATAGCATAGGGGAGACATATTCATCAGGACGAGAGTGCCGGGAGAACGGAGATGGCATGATGAGAGTGAATGGACATGAACACTACAGCACCAAGTTATTGAACTCGTACGAGTTGAACACAGCCTCCCCTATACTATAAAAGAACATAACACAGTTTTGAACTCGAAACGTGTTTTTAAACTCGTACGAGTTCGAAACAGCCAAGACTAGATGCACTTAAGCGTTTTTTCATCTCGTTACGAGTACGAATTTAACATGAAGTCTATGCTTCCATAAATCATTATTTCTTTACAATTTATCTAAAACTGCCCAAAAAACTGAAAAAGACATGTGTCGTGACGAGAACAAAATAGGTTGTAAAATATTGTTTCTATGGACTTTCCAAGCACAAAAATCTGCATTGGCCAACAAACTCTACAACGAATAAAACTTAATGTGTTAGTTTTTAATCAAGTCAAGGATTCACAGAATTACAAATTAATACATCATGTATTTGCTTCAGTACTGCTGCTAAGCGAAACTCTCTATATTCCAAAAACCAATAGCAAAGTGCATCAGTGTGTTACTCGGCTAGAATCGTGAAGAGCTTGATTATCAGCTACAATGTTATCAAAAAAAGTAATGTAATGCTATTTCAAGGTAACTAATAGGCGGTACGTCCGTGTATGTTTACTTCCATAATCTCCCGTGCATACCAATAAAATCATTTGCTGTGCGTGTTTTTGTTCTTTGGCGACCTGAAGATAACGTTCTCTGTAACACGACAAACATGAGAGACGTTCATTGTATTAATGTTGTTTTATCTACTATTTGCACACGTCGTCGCTTCTCACGGCATAGCTGAAGTGTAGAAAGCAGATGACCGTTTCAGCAATGTTCGTGGTGAACCGATGTAAATGATCAAGCCGATTTGTGGTTACGAACACGAACCTTTCAAAAAAAAGAGAATGTTGTTATAGTTTTATCTTTCATAGGAACACACACAGAAAAAAATCAGTAAAATATTATTCATAAAGGTAAATAACAGGCAAAAAGTTGATAAGAGAACATAAAAAAGAAGAGTTAGAAGCACATTTATTTTATTGGGTAATGCTTTTCTCACTAAAATGGAAGGCAGTAAATCGATGATTCGCACGGATTCACTCTCCACGGATCGTTTGAATGGTGAAGCTGACGTAGATCTCGTTTTATGTCCGATATGTCAAAATATCCTGTCGAAGCCGATCGCTTGTAAAACATGCGAAAATTCTTTTTGTTCGAAATGTATTCGTTTGTGGCTGATTAAAAAGCCGAATATGTGCCCGTATAACTGCCGTTTTGAGGCGCGGAAATGTCCAGCGATCCTCGTCACATTGTTGTCGAAATTAAAACTTGACTGCCGCCACAAATCACAAGGGTGCGCTGCTGCTATACCTTATGAAGCTCTGGAGCAACACGAATTACAACAGTGCGATTATCGAATAAGACAATGTCCAGGCTGTAAGCAGGAAATGTTGAAAAAAGATCTGGATCTCCATGAACAAGAGGGCTGTGAACTAGTGGAGTTAACATGTTTAAAATGTGACACAATCTATAACCAGCGGCAGCAGCACACCGAACTGCAATGCCTGAAAAAGCAAATTGTTATGGTCAAAGAGAAACTTGAAGCATCCGATCGAACATCAAATACAATGGAATATAACTACAAGAACATGGAAGAAAAGTACATACGAGAACAGAAAAACGATGATTACGCCAGGAGAAGACAACTAAAAGGCCAGCCGGACTATTGTACGTATATATAGCAATTTATATATAATAATAATAATAATAATAATATATAAAAATTTTCAGCTTGTGCCTGAAAAAATATTTGTTGTGGAGTCTGGAGATTGAAGAGGGTGGATCTGAACCGAGGCCGTGAAAAATGAGATAAAAAATGACCCATGAATGACTCATTTAAGTGCCATATATGGCTCATTTTTAAACCATATCTCTTCCATATTTATCTCATTTATTGTATCATAATGTAGTCATAATGATGTCATTTTTTTATGGGATAAATATCATCTTATTATGGTCATCAAAATATGAGCCTATTATGATCCTGTTTAGATCATTTTTGGCTCATTTTAAGACCATTTTAAGACTATTTATGAGATAAGAAATGCAAAGAAGAAAAAATACGAAATAGCTCGTGCAGAGATTTGAATCCCGAACCTGTAGATCATAAGTCTACGATGCTATCCACTACACCACACGGCTATACAAATATATATGTTTTTGTTTCTTCTGTTTTGGGATTTTCACTTTGAAGTTTAAAAAAAAAACTAGTAATTTTGATTAATTAGCCTCTAGTTTTTTCCACAAACACTGTAGAGAG